TGCGAATACATTGATATATAATAATATTTAATTATGTTAGTTTCTTCGATGATTTGTTTCCTCATCTGAAGCTCTGTTACATGGTAAAAATATACATACTAAATCGCCCCCTTAATGACTCATTCATCAAATTCGATATATACGGACATGCCTCTGCTAACTTTTGATCCATTTTATTTCTAAATCAGGGTTAGCCTAGATCCAGTTTCTAATCATCGATTGCGTTTTGCCAGTGGTGGCTCGTAGATCTAGAAAAGAGGTCAATCTTAAACAGTTAACATACCGCAAATGATTTTGATGATATACCAAACCCATTCTTTTGAGATGCGAAGTGGTCTGTAATTTTCTCGTTGAAGTCGTTTGTCCGTTTCATCAATAATTTTTCTTTAACCCATAAAAATGTCATTATTCTTTTTAAAGTTCCCCCCGAAAAAGAATTTTTATCTTTTTCATATTTTAACATCGCCCATCTTATTTTAATCATATTTGTATATTTTTTATACTTTTATATTATTGTACACACTGATAAGTTTGCATCTGAAATAACCCCGTCCAGGTAGTTGCTATCCCAAAATTCTGCGCCTACATCTTATTCCTTCTAGCCGATTGCGTTCTTCCTCAATCTCAAAGCTCTGCCTGAGTCAGAAACGCAAACTTATTTATTTCGTACTGTACATTTACGTGGGAAGTCACTGACCAAACGGCCCTTTATCGAAACCGCAACTGTGTTTTGCGTTTTACTTTTCCTAATGGCATCTTAATGAATGCGTCGCAATGCAGCCATTAATATACCACAAACTGGTGCATATACATGAGATATTGCTATTTAATCTTGATTTATTAATCGAGTTCTGTGGCATCTTAAGTGGAACTAAACGCTGTCATGTGCATCCTTTATAATCTTCATTATGATTTATTTACTTTATTCGGAATTGTCGATAATGAATATATGTACGTGCATGTCGTGTCGCAATAAATTATTGGATTTAACTAGCAAAACGTTGCATTGTCATTGATATTTTGCAATTATTTTATCAATGTCTCTGTTGATAGAATGATTTTTATAACGTTAGGTTTTGATTGCAGACCGTTTTTTAATCTATAAGCACTTTCACAATTAACGATGAAGAAAATAGACTGAAATTAATATTTTAAAGAGAATACCCTGTATATTATCGAATGAACGTCTAGTTGGCCTCGCGGTCACTTTTTTTTTAATAGTTCAAGAACGTGTAGATAACTTATAGTAGGATCATATTCGATGCAAAGTAATAAATAATTGCCTGTCAAAGGGATCCAGTGCAATACGGTTTTAAGAGGTTTAGAAATTTAATAATTTCTTTATGCATTATGAAGGGATAAAGGGATCAGTTCACGTCTGGCACCCTTGTTCCTACAGAAATTCCGTTGTTCTCATAAACTATTTATTTGAAATGTAATTTATTATAAATTCAATTTGTTTTTTAAATTCCACATATGTACTACATTTTACCTCTATACGCGCCACTGTTGTTTACTTGTTTTTTAAAGGTTGTCTCTGATTTAAGACCAAGCTCGCCAGGTTAATATTTGACGTATAACCGACCACTTCGTACACTCGATGCACCTGGGCGACTACAGCTACTACAAGAATACAGTGCGTATGCAGCGGTAGTTCAGATTTTACATTCAATTTCATTTTAAATTTGAAATGGTTCATCTTACGCCTCCTAAAAATGATGACACGATTTTCCTTTGATAAAAGACCGACAATTTTTTGCTCTACTTTGCATCGAATACGATCCTACTAAATATGTGTAGTTATAACTAGGGCTGTCAGAACTGAGCCGCGGGACATAGGCGTACGCATTATTTATTAAAAAGCAATAAATTAAATTGTCTAAAATACACCACCATAAACACCAATGGATAGGAATTAATTACATAACATCCGCACGTCAACAAAGCAACAGTATATTAACGTGACGAGAACGTAAAAAAGCATTCTGAGGCAGTGGCTCACTCATGTCTCGGTTGACCCACTTAGAACGCCATTGAATTGCGACTCTCTCTGACAGCTTTAGTGATAACCTTAAAGCTAATACTGTCATATAACTTAACGATAACGGGAAAATATTTTTTTTTCAGTAGCAATCTACGCCTTTTTCGGAAATTGTTAATTTAATTTTAGCAATTATTATTTGTATTCAGATTAGTCGATTTCAATTAAATAAATAATGTTAATATTTATAAATTTCAACTAAAACTATTTTAAGTTTTTTGATTTTCTAAAATATTTTTGATGAGTACATAGTGAAATAAATTTTAAGAAATTAATTAACAAATGACGCTTTATAAAATACATTTGAAAAAGGTTTAGATTTGTTTTGGAGGAGATCGAACTTACTAAGAAATATCAATAATAATTTGTAAAATATTTTCCCCTTATTATACACTAAGATATTCTATTAACTTTACTGAAGTAGCTATTGCATGTTGAGAGCATTACGTATTTTCAAATACAATTACCATGATAAGTAGTGTTAAAAACTATCGCATTTGTTAGTTAAATAGCAGCCTTAATCGTCACAAATATCTCCTTTAACTACCTGATAGTATACCCACAGTATAAACATAAACACTACTATTTATTATACGTTATTAGTCAGTGTCAGTATATACAGGGTGTTGCAATTCCGAAATAATTCTAGAAGTGGTTCGTTGACCATAAGAAAAAAAAATGATTCGCAAGCTATTCGTTTTTGAGATTTAGGTTAATGAAGATTTATTTTTTTAGGTATTCTCAATTATTTTATACGTTTTTTAAGTACATATTCGTATCCCAAAATAGAGAATTTTGAGTTCATATGATTTTTTAGTTATTTTTGGTCAAGTATTAATCGATAAAATAACAAAAAAATCCTATAAATATGTGACCGAAGAACTTTTTCAATATGCAGTGTTTAAAAGTAGTGAATTTGAGTTGCACAAAACAATTGATGGAAACCACGTACATAATACCTAATTAAACCAATACGTGTTCCGTAAAATAAATACACTAATGTGTTTAAAACTTACAAAAAACGATATAAAAGAATATTCCTACATTTAAATAAAGTAAAAATTTAACATTATCCGTGTTATTCCTAATGCGCATACTCGGGAAGAATAGTCTCATATGCAGGTGAGATCTTGTTGATATGTCATCGCTGTCATCATTAACGTATTTCCTTTTCTTTTATTTATTCGTGACATTTTCTAGTTCTATCAAGTATTTTTATTGTTTTTCTTGGTGCCAGTCTGTTTATCGAGTGTTTTTTTCTTTAAGTGGTTTGGTTTATTATTATAGACGTACTCTTAACCAGAACCAAATTTTTCTTGAATGATCCTGTTGCGAGGCTACCTCGCTTACAGGAAATTATCTTTAATGCGCATGCTCTGTAATATTGATATAATTTTAATTTATTAATTAGGTACTGTAAAAGTCAATATTGTTTTATGAATTTAAAAATATAAATTCTATAATTCTTTTAGTTTTCGACTCGGGGTTTGAAGCTTCTTAAATATTTCTAATATTGCCAGAATATCGCAACATTTAAGGTCATGACAAAGAAGCCATTTTTTTTAGCACTTATGTCCAAAATATATAAGGTCGAAAATCGATCTATTAAAAATATTGAGAAATTCTTCATGACAATGTGCACTATGGGATTGCCTATTATTTTGCGTATGTGACGTCACTACTAAAAAGGTCTATTGCCCCAACTGATAGAATGTCAAATCATGGTCAAATCTATATTTTCCCGTTCTAAATATTCAACTAACGCAAACATAACATTTGGTTATTTTGAGTGTCTTACTTACCTATGCTTTTGTCTTTAAAAGTACAATTATTTTGAATTTCATTGTTTTATTTTTATTTGTGGTAGAATGGAGTTTTACTTTTATTTGTATGGTTTTTATTTATTATTTTTGTTTTTTATTTTTATCGAAATAAAGTTTAATTTAGTTTATTTTTGGAATTTCTGGAAGAGAGAGGCCTTTTATATACTTTGCGCACGGGCCCAGAGGGCCCTTGCTACGCCACTGCCGAGAAGGACGACTCTAGGAACCATACGTCCACGACAGGCAGTCTCTGACGTCCTAAAAGTGACCACCGACCCCGTCCTGAGATGCTCACGTTACCGTGACGATCCTGGGAGCGCAGGAAGAAAATACAATAAATCACCGATCTTTCCAATTTTTGCGCTGCCAACCTCGTGCATCGATCCAATTGACCCTCGCCGTCGTTCTCAATAGGCCAACCAGCATCGACTCCTTGTCGATCGATACAAATCTACCCGCAAAAGGGATAAAACTACAAGGAGCCGGTAGTGACAGGGGAGCGGAAAAATCACCGATCTTTCCAAGTTTCCGACCGCCGCCGCCCCAGACAAGTTCCAGCATCCCGGTCCGCCCGTCCTTACGCCGAACGACTTCGAGAACGTACCCCGGAACGATTAGGCTAGATTTTCGGAAAAATCAAAATTTTTCGCATATGAAAATAACATAACCAGTCATTTTCAGTAACCGAACGGCACCCCCTACGTAACACCAACTAACCCAGATGTAAATTTAGACAAATGATATGACCATAAAAGATTCTAACTTGAAAAAATATTTCTTTTAGTTCTCTCGAATTATTTATATATTGGCATTTACTACTTTATGCACCAGGTTCTACAATTATAATTATTCAATCTACTTTTGTTGAAAAAAATTGAAGATACCACAAAGTCTAACTTATTCAAATATTCAATTTTCACGATATTCAATTAATTTTTTATTGGAAAATTTTAACATACCACAAATGTTTGTATCTTATATCAATATTCAGTTATTCATGATGCAATATGTAAATAACTATTATAATTTGATATTATACAAAGTAGGTAGATGATAATTGCCTTACTTTTATTATTTGTCGCACATTACAACGAACAAACTAATCGAACCAAACCTAAGCATTCATATCTCTTTACCTCGTTGGAAAGGTGATAATCGATAGTTTCGTCCACATCTTCTTCGTCCAGCCTGTCGGTTTCTATTCTGCCGAACACGTTGACGGAGTCGCAGATGCGTTTGATCCTCATTTTTGCGCGATACGAACACACACACACACACACACCACGAGCTTTCTCAAAATTACCTTCGCTTTGGCGGCCGTTGTGGGACTAAATCAGATCCAATTTACTCCAGCAAATTAACTTCTTAACGTTACCCCTTCTTCCAGTATCGTTAAAAGGCCGTAATTGACTATAATTATTATCACAACATTATTGGCAGCGTCTGGTTCTGGGGTCGACCTTGTACGGGGTGGTCGCGAAAATCGGAGCGACTTCTGTTTCTAATTTTTCCATATTTTAGTAACTAGTTAACCTTGTCGGTAGAGGAAGAGGAGTTGTTTTAATTCTTGAAGCCACTATTGATGAGGTAAATGTGAAGGCGTTGTTTGTGCATTTGCAGTGCTCGTGTTAGGAAGAGAACAACACCCTGTATCTCTGTTCATTATAAATAAGTCTGAGGTCAGTCAATTTTGGATTATTGGTATTCGAACATCTTAATTTTCATCAACACATAAATTACACTATAATAAATATATCTGTTGAGAATGATTTGTAAATGTTATTTTATTTCTTCACTGTAACCGAAGAGTAGATTTAAATAACTTAAAACTGTTTTACATTTGTCGTTGTATTGTTCTTTTGGAGAATTTACTAAAGCTAATAAATTGAATTGAAATTGAAATCGAAATATTTACCAGTTTTCAAAAACGGTCTTCGTGTTGAATATTAAAAAAAAGTAAAAGAATATCCAAAAAAAACAATATGTAATACTTTACAGCATCCTTAAAAACAAATCATTTACGGACCAATGTTTATATTATTTTTTTAAGGGAATTATTTGTAAAATTTCATTGATGAAATATTGCAACATCCTGTATACGAGGTTTAATAAAAAAGTAACGGAAATTGCGCGTATTGTATCTTGTTTAAAAAGTGAATTATTTTTTATGTATTGGTAGCACTGTCAGTCACGTTCCTTATTATTTGTTAGACAGTTACCATGCTTAGTTTGTGTTTAGTGAGCGCATGTGTAAGACCAGTGTTTTTGACGATTTTTTGTCTGACGAAATGTCGGATCAGAGTATAGATATCAGAGAGTTTGTCTGATATTTTGTGTCAAAAACGGAATTAAGTGCAGCGAAGCCTACAAAATGTTTTCAGGAAGGCCAACATGAAAATGAAATAAGCGATGGTGTAAGAAGGTAAAATGTTCCAAATTGTAAAAATTCTGTTGGACAGGAAGTATTGCCTTGCTCTGGATTTAAAATTTTCCTTTTTTAACTTCAGTTCATGACCACGGAGGCGATCATCAGTATTCAACGAGTAGATTGAAGACAAATTGCCGAAATTAAATTTAAGAATTTTAAATGTCATAATTAAATCGCCTCGAAGGCGACGCTGCTGGAAGTCTGTGAGATGGGCCATGGAAAGTTGTTCCACATAGGAAGGTCGAACTCGTCCAAAAGAAAGTCTGGTCGGAGAGCGTTGAATACTTTCTGAGGATTGCTGGTTTCGGATGAGATCAGGGCATCACATAAAATCAGCGTTCTTAAGAATTCGCCTCACATAACTTCAGTATAGTTTACACGACACATCAAATGATTGCAGTAAATAGAGTTTAGAGTTAGCAGGGCTTACACACAAAATTTACATGATCTGACCATGACAAATTTGAGTTTATTATGACACCTAGGTCATTGTGAGAAGTCACTGTTGTTAGCACCTGTCCATGTAAGGAATACACACAATTGCGGTTTCTGCGACCGATATGGAGAACAACACACTTGTCTGCATTTAGCGGAAGTAGCCATTCATCGCACCAGTTTGTAATGGACACTAAGTCTCGTTGGAGGGACACATGGTCACTATCAGGATTGGCGTATAGTTTAGTATCATCTGCGTAGAAAGATACTTTGTTCGTGACGTGATATTGAATATTACTGGCATATATAATAGTAGGTTATTATAGCCGGTGCTGAGACTCCCCCCTCCACTTTCGACCTTGGGATGACCTTG